TTTCAGTAAGCGATGTTAGCGCAGCTGGAGAAGGTAAGCTTCTGTCTCTGTCTCTTTCTCTTACTTGTTCAAACTTTATATTAGAGTGGATCAGAGAATCAAAAAAAAAAAAAAAAAAAAAAAAGTCCACCAGAAGAAAATGTAGGAGAGGCTTCTTGTAATCTTGGGTAGGGAAAGATTGTATATATTTGACTTCACTCAGAGTAGAAGGGCTTCCTGTTTGTAATACTCCACCAAGAAATGGAGAAAGGGCTCGGGGTGGGGGCTGGAAATGTGGTTCTTTTTCTTTATTCCTTCTTTGTCTGAGAATGATAGATTGTCATGCTGAGGCCCCAAATACCGACCAGCAGTGTTGTGTAATTTTGTGTAGTCTCTGATACTGCCTGCGCCAGAACAGCACCCACCCGTGGCCCCTGCTGGCCGTCAAAACCAGCTCCTGGGTAGGGTGCAATTGCCCACGGATAGCAGCAACAGCCCCAACAATGGCCGAGGAAGACATGGGGCTGACACAAGTACCTGCCTCATCCAGGGTCCAAAATGGAGACCTGTCCCGAGTGGGCCAGGACAGGCCAGCTCAAGGGCAGCTCTCCCGTAACAGCTTCTCACCACAGGAGGGTGGGCAGATCATGAATGGTGTTGAGATTCACACCAGCAGGGCCCTTGGCTCTCAGTCAGAACTTACAGAAAGAAAGAAGTTGAGGTGTAACAAGTGCAGACTGGGCCATCCATCCATCCATCCATCCATCCCACCCCATCCATCCATCCATCCATCCATCCCACCCCATCCATCCATCCATCCCACCCCATCCATCCCACCCCATCCATCCATCCATCCATCCCACCCCATCCATCCATCCATCCCACCCCATCCATCCCACCCCATCCATCCATCCATCCATCCCACCCCATCCATCCATCCATCCCACCCCATCCATCCATCCATCCATCCATCCATCCATCCCACCCCATCCATCCATCCATCCATCCATCCATCCATCCTACCCCATCATCCATCCATCCCACCCCATCCATCCATCCATCCATCCATCCACCCCATCCATCCATCCATCCATCCATCCATCCATCCATCCCACCCCATCCATCCATCCATCCATCCATCCCACCCCATCCATCCATCCATCCATGCATCCATCCACCCCATCCATCCATCCATCCATCCATCCATCCATCCATCCATCCCACCCCATCCATCCATCCATCCATCCATCCATCCATCCCACCCCATCCATCCATCCATCCATCCCACCCCATCCATCCATCCCACCCCATCCATCCCACCCACCCCAGCAGGCCTGCTAACGTTCAGGCCTGCTCATTTGTGGTTCAGACCCTCTCTGTCTCTAAGCATGGAGAAAACGGAGCCGCAGTGAGGGCCCGCGTGTCTGCAGGGCTTCAGAAAGCGCTCTTTCCATCTCTTCCCTTCACACATCTGCTTCCGCCCTGGCTTCCGTATTAGAAAAGGACTAAGTGAGGCGTCTGCTAGCGCCCTCCAGTGGAAGGGAACGCCTGTAGCAGTGTGTGTGGCCTGTGGGTGGTGTTACAGCAGTGTGTTTTGACACTGAGGTGATCCAGCCATGTCTTTATGTTTCCAGCAACTTCCAAAGTCTGTGTTTTTGTCAAACACTAGCGAGGTGTTTAACTAACCCTATTCCTCTTCTGGACCATGAATCACTTTAGAATTTTCTAACAGCATTTTCTCTCTCACAGATGCCGCTAATAGTTATCGTTTGTCAACATTTCCTCTTAGAACCACCAGAATTACACGCATGCCATTTAGACTTAGGCAGTTTAACTGCCATCTTGCTCTACAATGTTAGACTAGCAAATGGCGTCATGAAAGCTTTGTTGTTTAGTTTTTGTTTTCCAAGACATAGACATTTCTTTAGTTTGAATTAACAGTTATTCAAAGGTAAACAAAAACTAAAAATATAAGACACAAGAAAAATACTCTGGGCAACAAAAATACATTAAAAAAAGGAATATACCATTAAAACGCAAAGAGACTAGAATAGCATGTTTATTATGTATCTTAGAAAATTAGCTTATCGGAGTCCATTCCCTATGAGGGGATGCTATCATGTAGGGGGGAGGGGCTTGGTCCTGCCCCAACTTAATGTGCTAGACTTTGTAGCTCCCCATGGGAGTCCTTACCTGTTAGCAGGAGTAGCTAGGAGACAGACTGGGGTTGTAGGCAAGGGGCGTGGGTGGAAGGAGGTGTGGTTGGAATCTAAAATGAAATACAAAAAACAATGCAACAATAAAAAAAGAAAATACTTTAATCCAGATGTTATGGTTAATTTTGAGTGTGAAATTGGTGGAGTTTAGAATTACCGTGGGGGGTGTGTGTGTGGCTGAGGAGATGGTTCAGTGGCTAAGAGTACTGGCTGGCCTTTCATAAGACCCGGATTTGATTTCAGGTACCCACAAGTGGCTGATCCAATGTCCTCTTTTGGCCTCTGTTGGTACCAGGCACACATGTGGTGTACAGACATACATGTAGGCAAAGCACCCATACACACGAAATAGTAGAATAGAGAGGAGTCGCCATGGAAACAACTCCCCGTCTCCAAGAGGGTGTCTGGACTAGGCTAACCCTAAGAGGGAAGACCCCTCTTAACCATGGGCAGTGCCGTTCTTGCCCCAGGCTGAGTACGAAGGGGAAGTGGACCGAACCTAGGTGTTCATCGCTCTCTGCTTCCCCACTGAGCACTCAGTTTCACCAGCCACCATGCTCCTGCTGCCGTGACCCCTCCCCCTCAGGGACAGTACCCTTGAACTGGGGGCCAGAAGTACTTCCGAAAGTTGCTCCTTTTCAAGTATTTTGAAGCCACAGCAATGTGTAATGTATCTAGCACACTGGACTATAAAGTATGAAGAAGCCATGTTGGTGACGAAGTGGAGCTATTTCTGTATGTGTGTGGTTATATGCATACGTGTGTATGAGCATGCACATGCTCATGAGAGTCAGAGGACAGTGTGTGAGAGTCCCATAGTTGAGACTCAGGTCACTGGGCTTGGTGGCAGGCCCTTCCTTCACCTGCTGAGCCACCTTGCTGGCCTCGAGCTCTACTCTTCCTACTCTCCTCCCCCTCCTCCTGAAGGGAACATCACACTTGTGCAGCTGTTAGGTGTTACGGTTAGGCTACCACTTGACTATGCAGTAGTGTACCAGAGCCTTCTAGGCACCCCTGACCGCTCCTTAACACACGCTGGTCAGTGTCTCTATTTCCCTTCGCTCAGTTCTGTGAGATCAGCTCGCTGTGAGGTCCTCTATGAGATTCTGTGTGTGATTGACCTTTCTTTTCCTAGCTTACATTACATACATAAATCAATAACCTTATTTAAGACCTGGTGCCTCATGCCTGTGAATCTAGACCTGGGAAGCTGAAGCAGGAGTGCCGTGGGTTCGAGATCAGCGGTGTCTTTTGTTTTAGAAGTTTCATGATGTCCAGTCTTACACTGACGATTTTATCCATGTTGTATTTTGTGGGACTGGTTGTACTCGCCTGTGTGTGCATAGTCTTCGGCCCCGTTGGGATGGCTGTGCTGTGTGTCCTTTTGTTGAAAATCAGTTGGCTGTAAGGGCGTAGGCTTACTTCCAGGGTCTATTCCGTTCCGTTGTTCGTACCGTATAGCTTTGTATGTGTCTCTGTATCTGCTGGTGTCAGCAGGGGCCACCAGAGGGCATTGGATCCCCTGCCGCTGGAGTTGTGAGCATCCTGACATGAGTGCTCGCTCATACTGGCTGAGCCATCACTCCACCCCCGCCTAGTACTGAAGTCAGGTGGTGTGTTGTCTCCAGCTGTGTGCCATTAAACACAGCTGTGTTGAATAGAATGCGGGACGTGGACATTCTTTTCTCAATACAGATCTTAGAGACAGCTTTCCAATTCCCCCCATCACTATAATGCAAACCATATGTCTCTCCCTCTGTCTCTCTCAAACAAAAGTCCCTTTTTAAAATGTCTCCCTCCCTTGTACAGGGACATGTGTGGCCCGAAGGCAACTTTTGGGTATTGTCCCCTCCACCTCATCTCTGAGGCATCTGGTCTGCTTGTGTATGCTTCATCGTCCAGGCTAGGCAGCCTGAGGTCTTCTCGGCGGTCTCTTGTCTGTGTTTCCATCTTGCTGTAGGTGTGCTCACAGATGTGCAACAGCGTCGGGCTTCTTAGAGTGAGTGATTCCAGGGATCAAACTGAGCCCATCAGGTTCGTCAGATCAGGGTTTTTACTGCTGACGTGGCCCCAGCCATTTACTGCTGTAAATGGTTTTTATTGTGTTTAGTTATAGTCCTTCATGTTTTTATTCTTTGTTTCTTTTTGAAGATGTTAAAAACGTTTTAAATGAGTTGTTTAAATTTTATGTGCATTAGTGTTTTCCTCCATGTGTGTCTGCACGTGGGTGTCAGATCTTCTGGAACTAGAGCTACAAACAGTTGTGAGCAAGTGGGCTCTGGGGATTGAACCCTGCTCCTCTGGAAGAGCAGCCAGTGCTTTCAACCTCTGAGCCATCTGTCTAGCCCATCGTTATGGCCCTTCTGTGCCTACGTCCAGGGTTTTTATCATGAAAGGGCGATGAATTTGTGAGATGCCTTTTCTGTAGCTATCAAGATGACCATAGTTGTCATTCTGCCATCATGACATTTTATATATGGTACTCTTGATGATTTTAGGTTTTAGAGTTAGGTTTTAGTGCTAGCCACACTGCTCCTGGTTTAGTGGGAAAGAACTTGTCCTGTCTGTCTACGAGGCTGTAGCTGGGAGGGGAAATGGCTGTGTTCATCCCCCATCTCATTCCTGCTCTACGGCGATCACTTTCTATGCCAGTATGCGAGTCACTGTGCTTGCCTGTTGCCCACCATGGCAGGTGTAGCCCACTGTGTGAAGACATTTTGTCTGATTTTAACTGTAAGACTGTGAGGACGGAGGCACAGGCAAGTGGGCCGTGTACTAAAAGACAAAATTTGTCTTTTGAATCAGGTTTACTGCAGAAAGAGAAAATGGCAATTGAAGCATTTCAGATTTGTTGCCTCCTTCTGCCCCCCGAGAACAGGAGAAAGCTACAGCTGTTGATGAGGATGATGGCAAGGATCTGCGTGAACACAGAGATGCCACCGCTGTGTGATGGCTTTGGCACCCGTACTCTGGTAGGTTGACCGTTGACATCTACCGTGACCTACGTTCGTTTTCAGTCTGAAGTGTACCCGAAACCCTGTTCTGAGCAGCCAGACGAGAGCTGGAGGGAGGCTTGCTCAGAGAGCGAGTCCCACTGTCCAGCCAGACTTACTGTCCTTTCAGTCTAAGGACCTTGAAGAACAGAGTGAAGAGGGAGTAGGGAACAGGCTCTTCCTTTAGAGACTCGCTTATCATTTTACAAATGGCTGTCGATGGTCAACAAGAAGACAGTGAAGGTGGTCAGACAGCGCCGGAAAACCACATTCCCCGGCTCCAGCACAGGGGTGTTGAGGAAGCGAGAGGGAGGGGGGGAGGGGGAGGGGGAGCTAGGAGGAAAGCAGCAGACTGGATTAAAGCTGGCAGGGATGGAATCCCCAGGCAGGCTAGACAAGATGAGAGGAGAGGGGGAGGGTTCTTTAAATTGACAATTTCGTATAATTATGGATTCCTGTGCTGTTCTGACGTATGGGCTAACTGTAGTAATAGTTTATTAAAATGAATTAATGTGTCTATCACATCACTTGTTTGTTGGTTTATTTATTACTTCTCTAGCAGTTTGGCCACATTCCACGCATTGTTATTGGTAGCTATGGCTGTGGTGCCATGGATAGATTCCTAGAACTTTCTCCTAATTGGAGCGTTGTATGCTTTAGTCGGCATCTTCCTGCCACTGCCTACTGCGTATTACACTGCATCTCTCAGTTTTCCCCAAGGAGAGTCTTGTAGAGAGATTGTTTCTTTAATGCAGTGTGTGTTCTTCTCATGCTCTTGGGAATTGCCCGGCTCTAGAGGGGCACACACTGCCCACTGGGGTCACTCTTGACCCCTTCTCAAGTTAAAGGGACCTTTCTGAAATGTCAAAGAAAACGTGTACCTCTTCCCTATAGCAACACACACACACACACACACACACACACACACACACACACACACAGGTAAGTATAAAATTTTAAACATGATTTCAAACCATTCTTAAATCTATTGAAATTTATTGTTTCCAAACAAAAATTTCTACCTCTCCTTGTATATGCAAATATGAAGCCAAAGCGACACAATGTTGATAAAAGCTAGTCCTAATAAACATCACCATGTAGGTTTTACTATGAGGTGGCTGGCAATAACATTAGAAGGCAAAGGTAAAATAGGTTAGTCCAGAGCTTAGAACTGAAGGAAGTAATGATATGACTCTCATGGAAACTGCATTGTTTACATTCGTTACGTATTCATATTCATGTTCAAAGACAGTTCTCAAGTATGTGTCTCAAACTGTAGAGAAACTGAGTTAGCCAGGGAGAGATATGACAGCTGAGGGACACAGAGTAAAAACAACCACTGGAATTGGGGTATTGTTTGGCCACATGGTTAGAGGTAACTTGAACTTGAAAGTGCTAAATTCATGTACCATTCAGATATGTGTGCATGTGTATATGTATATATTCATGCAACTGTAAAACCTTGTATAAAATGGAGTTTCAACAGTTCCTCAGACGAGCGTCTTCCTGCTAAGTCTGTTAAGGGGACATTGCCATTTGAGTTGGCCACCTGTCACTAGGTCCCTGTAGGGTGTGCCCCCATCACGGGGGGGGGGGGAACGGGTACGGGGGGGGCGGGCGGTGCTCTTCTCCCCAACTCTTACATCTGTCTTTCGCAGGCTGACTGGTACTCAGTTTGAGAAGGCAGGCGGCAAGGCCACACATTTCCGCTGATTTCAGTCTCTCCTGCCTTTTGTTTTAGATGGTTCAGACATTTTCCCGGTGCATCTTGTGTTCTAAGGATGAAGTAGACTTAGATGAGTTGCTAGCTGCTCGCTTGGTGACGTTTCTGATGGACAATTACCAGGAGATTCTGAAGGTTCCTGTGGGCCTGCAGACCTCCATAGAAGAGCGTGTGGCTCATCTGCGAAGGGTCCAGGTAAAGATGGCACAGTCCTGTAAGACTGACAGCCTTCTTCTGACATCTGTAATTGGTGTGAGCCAAGTGCTTACGGTAGGCCTCGGCATGTACTACCCACTGCATGAGTCTGCTGTTACCATGGATAACCGTGGGATGCATGCTTGGTGTATTATACCAACCGCTGCTATAGATATCTGCCTAATACACTGATCAAGTTCGGAATATAGATTGAACATACAGAAAACTAGCAGTGTTACACTAAAATGCCTGTAATGTATATGTTTATCTTTTTCTTTTCGCTCCTCCTCCTTTCTCCATTCTCTTCTTTGTCTCAGTTGTTTTTAGTAGCATAGTTTTTCTTACTTAGTAATACAATGGAGCGTTACTCCCGTCTTCAAATGTTGTTGATTGGCACTTGTGCCAAGAGCACACTCTGCAGGTAAATCGTGCTTGAATTAATGGTGTGTCCTTTTCTGTGCTGTGCCTTCTTATTAGTGAAATAATACTACTACTGGGTTTCAGCTTTTGTCCTAGTCTCTTTCCTTTGCTGTAAAATCGGAACGATAGTTAACGTTTTATTTGGCTAGTACATACAGAAAGTGCTTACAGTAATGTTTGAATGTATATCACATAGCTAACTGCTGTTATTATTGGTATGTTATTAATGTCATTATTGACTATGTCCATATTCCATGATAAGAATGTATGCATAATTAAGTGTGGTGCTATTGGTTTTAATTTTTTTTTTTTTTAAATTTTTAGCTTTATTTTACTTTGTTTTTTTAAGACAGGGTTTCATACTGAAGATCAGGGTGACCTGGAACTCTTTATGTAGCTCAGGCTGGTCTTGAATTCGGGGACAATCTTCCTGCCTCAGCTTCCTGAGTCTTTGGCTTATAGACATGAGCTACCATGCCCAGCTATGGTTGATATTTAGATTGTCTCTTTATTTCTCTCTGTTTTACGTATTAGTAAATATTTTTGTAGCTAGATTTTAGGGGAGGGAGCTGATCACAACTATTTTCCAAGAGTAAGTTCCTAGGTGCATTGTTGCTGGGTCAAAGGCCTTAAATACATTTTAAGTATTGAAAGCATATTGCCAAATTTCCTTTTAGTTTGATTGCTTCAATTTGATTCATGTCAAAAGCATAAGAAAATAAGTATTCATTTCAACTCTGCCTATGCTTTGGATATAATCACCATGTATATGTGCATGTAATATATATGTGTATATGTACACGCACGCATGCACACACACGCCCTTGCCATTTGCATTGGTAAAATGCATTATCCTACTAGTGTTGTAGTTTAATATTTTTTTCTGCTGATGTTTTATGACTCAGATTTTGAAGAGCAGAGATGAAATGCTTCCTCCAGGATTCACGAGGGAGGGTTAGAGCAGGATAGAGCAGGAGTTGTCACTCTGGGTGCTTTCTGGGATTGTGTGCTCACACACCATAACAGGCAGATCACAGAAACAGCCTGTGAGCCCCGTGCCTTTGAGGATCAAGGGTGGGCTACGCTGATTAATCTACCCACAGATCAGCTTGACTGAATAAAATCAGTGGTGACTTTACGTGGCTTCTGGAGAGCATGCTCAGGTCTCCAGGCTTTTCTAGAAAGTGCCTCTACCCACTCACCAACCCCTGATTTCTGTTTAAATTTTAGATCTTATTGAAGGGCACATCCAGGAGTCCTTTGTTGTTTATTATTATTTTTTTTATTGTTGTTGGTTTTTTGAATGGGTCTCAAGTTCAGAAAATTAAACAATCTGGCATTATAAATTTAAGACTGGCGTTAAATATTATTCTTTCAGAAGCATTAAAGCACTCTCCTTTTCAATCAATATGACTCCCCTAAGCAAACTGAAGAAAATATCCCACTCCTAGCAGGGGCGTGCTGATTTTGATTTTATCTGTGCTTCGCCTCAGATAAAATACCCAGGAGCTGATATGGATATCACCTTGTCTGCGCCTTCCTTTTGCCACCAAATTAGTCCCGAGGAATTTGAATACCAAAGGGCTTACGGCTCTCAGGAGCCCCTGGCAGCCTTGCTGGAAGAAGTCATCGCAGACGGGAAACTCTCCAACAAGGAAAAGAAGAAGAAGCTGAAGCAGGTGATGGTGTGGGGCTGCTCCTCGGGAGGCGCCGCCCGCCCGCAGTCTCAGGTGGTTTTCCCCGTGCTCCCTCCTCATGGACCTCACGGAAATCTCAGGAGGGCACTCACTTGGGTTCTGTGCTGCAGAGGCGTGGGTGACGGGCACACTGCACTCATCTCCCCAGTTCTACCGTTTTTGCACATCGAGTGCCTGTCTTGTAGAGTTAGTTAATATCTGACAACTGTTTTGCTACCCGACATGATATGAATTAGCGAAACAATTACTTCAGAGAAACGGAGTCTAAGGAAAACATTTAATGTGTGTGTCTGTGAGTGTGTGTGTGTGTGTCTGTATGTGTTTGTGTGTGTGTCTGTGTGTGTTTGTGTGTGTGTGTCTGTGTGTGAGTGTGCGTGTGTGTCTCTGAGTGTCTACATGTATGCATGTGTGCGCACATGTGTGTGTATGTTTGTGTGAGTGTGTGTGTCTGTGTGTGTGTGTGTGCTTGTGTGTCTCTGAGTCTGTGTGTGTGTCAGTGTGTGTGTTTCTCTGAGTGTGTGTGTGTCTGTGTGTGTGTGTGTGTGGGTGAGTGTGTGTGTTTCTCTGAGTGTGTCTGTGTGTTTGTGTCTCTGAGTCTGTGTGTGTGAGTGTGTGTGTGTGAGTGTGTTTCTCTGAGTGTGTATGTGTGTGTGTGTGCGTGTGTGTCTCTGAGTCTGTGTGTGTGTGAGTGTGTGTGTTTCTCTGAGTGTGTGTGTGTTGTGTCTGTGTATGTGTGTGTGTGTCTGTGCGTGTGTGTGTCTGTGCGTGTGTGTCTGTGTGTGTGTGTGTCTGTGCGTGTGTGTCTGTGTGTGTGTGTGTGTGTGTCTGTGCGTGTGTGTGTCTGTGCATGTGTGTGTCTGTGTGTGTGTGTGTCTGTGCGTGTGTGTGTCTGTGCGTGTGTGTCTGTGCATGTGTGTGTCTGTGTGAGTGTGTGCACATGTGTGCGCGCGTGTGTGGAGGTGAGGACCCTGCTAGAGTCTGTTGTCTGGTGCACCTTGCTGTGCAGCCCCTGCAGATGTGCTTCCCTCCTCGCAGACGCTGTATTTTTAGAGAATCTCAGCGCGGGTTCTTCCTGCCAGCCAAGCTCACTTCCTCTGAGGCCATAGAGCCGAGGGTTAGAAAAGAGCTTTCATTCAGGAAAGGAGCAATGCATCACTGCACCACTGCATCACTTATTCCCTGCTTCACTGCATCACTGCTTCACTGCATCACTTAGGTTTTGTCGCTGTGAAGGAAAGACTGAACGAATCTACCTAAGGGGCGTTCATTGGCTCCCAGTATCACAGGGCTTATTTATTCACTGTGGCAGCTAAGGGATGATGGAGCAGTTCAGGGTGTGGCAGCAGGAACATTGGTAGAGACTACTCACGTTACCATGGGCCAGAGAGCAGCTGTGGAATTGGTCGGGTAATACACCTGCGGGATCTGCTTCCGGGGGTTCAGGGGTTCACTTCCTCCAGCTGGGCTCTGCTCCCCCAGCTTTCAAGACCCCCCCCCCCCAAAGTCACTGGGAATCAGGTATTGGAAACATGGCACCAGGGGACGCTTGCCATCCCAGCCTTACTCTGGCCATCCTTGAAGCCTGCTCTCCACGTGAGTGGATGGTATTTCATTCTCTTTTTGTTTGTTGTTTAGCCCAGCTCACCCTTGGCTTGGCCATGCTCTGGTCCGTGCCTGTGGGGTTAGAAGTGGTGCCCTACGTATATTACTGCACAGCTGGATTCCTGGACACAGCATCCACGGGCTCGTTCCCTGAACATCCGGGGGCTGTGCTTTTTCTCATTTTTCTCTCTGCCAATGTTGGAGAAGTATTGAGTGTTGAATATGGAAGGAAGAAGCCATTACCTCCCTGTAAATACCGCATGGCTAATACCTCCAGCACGTTCCCTTTTCTCTTTGTTGGGTAGAAGCTGGCCAAGCTGAGTTGGAGAGGCAGGGAGACGGTGAAACTCAGTCGGGCCAGACTTTTCTTCAATTGTGTAGAACAAAAGTTATTTGCAATCCAGACTTACTGGTGCCTGGTTCTCACAGTGGGGTCTAGATATAGTTGACAGTGAGAGCATTTGGAGGGATTTGATTACAAGGACAATTTCAACCGAAGACTGATCACAGGAAAGAGGAGGTAGAGCTGTGGGCATCAAGTCATTCAACGGGAGTAAAGGAGAGCGGGGGTCAAGAACTCTTACACTTTGACTCTCGGATTTTGTGGCTCACTTGTGCCTTTTTGAACTCATATTGGACCCCTGTTCAGTTTCAGAAATCTTACCCTGAAGTCTACCAGGAGCGATTTCCTACACCAGAAAGCGAAGCACTTCTCTTCCCTGAAAAACCCAAGCCCAAACCGCAGCTGTTCATGTGGGCGCTGAGGAACCCTTTCCAGCCCTTTCAGAGGACGAGAAGCTTCCGGATGTGATGCGCTGACGGAGTTTCAGAGACTTCAGTGGTAGAGACGGTTCTGAGTCAGTCAAGGCTGAAGAATGCCAAGTCACAAGCAGCGTTCCAGAGATTCCGTCAGATGACCTGACTCAACGTGCTGAGCCGTTATCAGTGTTTTTATAAGTCTCTGCTGTTTTTAGAGATGTGCGAATCAGTGGATGATTACACGCCAAGTGTTCAGTGGTGGTGTAACAGGCTGTGGATTGTTACATAACCTAAAGGTGAAGCGCCCCCCTGTCTGTCTGTCATTTTCCATAGTGTGTGAGGTTCTTGTGTGTGTTTTCTGTTCACTGACATCTCTGTGAAGACCAAGCCTACGAACAACGTACATACTTGAATGAGAACCACACTGGCTGCTGTTACTGTGGTGGCACTGACTTAGCTGCCAGCTGTGATGTCTCCTGTGGAAATTGTGATGCCTCCTGTGGAAATCCCGTTTTGTTGCTGTTGTTATTGTGCGAAAGTCCCTGATGTCCTTTACTGTGATGGCTGTGCCTTTCATTGCAGACTTGCACTGGCTCTTTGATGACCCATGTGTCAGTCTGCGTACCCCTACATGTGGAGTAGATTTGCATCTGCCCGCAGTCACGCAGTCTTAGCTGGATGAATTCTGTGGGTCCCCCTAGACCTGTAAGTCTAAATTAAATCTTTGTTTGGTTTTATGAAAAGTATAAATGGTAAGATGAAATGACTTCCTTTATGAATGTATTTTTCAGCTTCTTCTTGCTTTTGAAAGTAAATGTGATGTAAATAAATACCGAGGTTTTTTTTTTTTTTAAAAAAAATATGCCTAGTGTTTTCCTTTCTTTCTTTTTTTAATATGTATATTAACCCTAGTGTGTGTCTTTCTTTCAGATAAGTTAGGGAGCCTCCTAAATGCCTTTGCCAGTATTTTCATATCACTCTGTGTTTCAGAAAGTTAAGTAAGGTTTATTTTGGCTTTTGTATTGGTTTCAAGAAAGTGCTCACCCACCTCTGTCCATCTGTCTGTCTCTCCCTCTTTTCCTCCTTCACCCCCCCCCCCCTCCTTTGTTTCTTCTGCAAACAGGCAGGGGAGCCTCTGAAACACCCTGAACGTAATTCCCCTGAGCTGACTGTGCTGTTGTCCTTGGGGTCTGCTGCGCTCTGCTGTGGCAGACTGTCTTCTGAAGTCAGCAGTTCCCCCATTTACAGATGGGTAGGTGTCCCTGCTGGCCTGAGCGCTATTCCTGATATTTAATGTGAAGGTGAGCTTTAGACCTTGACGTTTTGTTGAAGCCAAGTGTAGTTCTGCATTCTCCTCTGTCTCGCCCTGTGGCGGAGAACCCCTTTCGTCTGCTGCTTTTGGAAGTGTGTGTGATTATTTCTTGAAACGTGAATTCTTAGGGAGGCACCATAAACCAAGTATACAACCGATGCCAGGTAGCAAGAGTTTTTCTAAGTGGTTATACCAATTAACACACACATCATCAGTGTGCGAGTTTCTTTTACTTAGTGGTTTCGCCGAAGCTTGCTTTGTTGGGTTTGAATTGTCAATGTGTAGGTAAATACTGGTGTCTGATTACGGGTTCACTCTCATTTTAATATAGCTGTACCTTTTTCCCATCTATTTTTAGCCTTTACATTTTTTTGTAAAAATCTAACTCCTCCTTTATGTACATATACGTACTATGCTTTAGATTATTGGGCCTATAAATCAATTTGGTGATTATTACTATATTTGCAATTATGCTGGTTACTTTTTGTCAGCTTGATATAATCTAGACTTACCTGGGAAGAGGGGAGCCTCCAACAGCTCAACAGCTGTCCTGTGGGGGCATTTCTTCCTTCCTTCCTTTCTTCCTCCCTTCCTTCCTTCCTTCCTTCCTTCCTTCCTTCCTTCCTTCCTTCCTTCCTTCCTTCCTTTCTTCCTTTCTTTCTTTCTTTCTTTCTTTCTTTCTCTCTGTCTCTGTCTCTGTCTCTGTCTCTCTCTCTCTCTCTCTCTCTCTCATTCATGTGGGAGGGCCCAGCCCATTGTTGCTGATCCTCCACCCTAGCGGGTAGTTGTATAAGGAAGCAGATAGAACAAGTCATAGAGAGGAAGGTGGTCAGGAGCGGCACGCTCTGTGGTCTCTGTGTGTGAGTTCCTGCCCTGCTTTCCCTACCTGGTGGACTATCCCCCGGGAGTGTAAGGGAACCCTCTCCTCTCCCAGTTCTTCTTGGTCATGGTGTGTATCACAGCAGCGAGAAGGGAATGGACACACTGAAAACGAGTCATGGGCCCTCCCTCTTGATAGATGAAAATGTTTAATCTTTAAAAAGGTTTATGTGTTCTGCTTCTAAGTACATAATACTTTGAAAAATTTTAATATCAACATTTGTTTTGATTCTGTCATAAATGTCTTCAGGCTTTCTTTCATCTTTTGTATGGGTAAGAAAGCTGAGTTTTGTTTACTGACTGCTGTGTGCTGTGGTCAGTGGCCTTGCTATATACGTTCTTGCTAACTCTAAATATTTAGTGTGATGTCTTTGTTTATTTTCTACATTTCCTACAGATCAGCAAGCAATGACTCTTTGGTTTTCTTTTCTGTATCTTTACTATTCCCAGTAGTCTTTGTTTTTCCATACTTAATTTTGAAAACAGTTTCTTTGTGGGGTGTGGAGTGGGTGGTTGGGTGGGTATGAGTATGCGGTGTGTATGGTGTGATGATGTGTGCGTTTGTGTGTTGTATGTGTGTGGAGTGTGTGCATATGTAGTGTGTGTGTGTGATGTGTGTGGTGTAAATGTGTGGAGTGCATGTATATGTGAGTATGTATGTGTGTGATTTGTGTGGTGTGTGTAGGTGATATGTGTGGTTATGTAGATGTGTAGTGTGTATGTATGTATGTGGTGTGTGTATGTGTGTGTATGGTATGTGTAATGTGTGTGTGATTTGTGTAGGTGTATAGGTGTGTGGTGTGTGTAGTGGTTGTGTGTGTGTGTGTGTGTGTGTGTGTGTGTGATAGGTCAGAGTACAGCTTGTAGCAGTCAGTGCTACCTTTCCAATATGTAGGTCATGGGAATTGAAGAACTCAGGCTCGGAGTATTGCCTGTAGTTGCTAAGCCTTCTTGCTGGCCATTCCTGATATTTAATGTTTCATGTAGTCCCCTTCCTTTGAATATGGGATAAGGAGAGGCTCTTCATGTGCAAATTGTTGCTTCTTGTCAATGATAGGTCCCCCGCCTGGGACAAATGGCTGAGTTGCTTATTTAACATGTCAAAGTGGATGTGACTGCCAGGTTCTCCCCACATCTCTCAGTTCCTACCAAACTTCTCCAATCCAGGGGCTGGGCTGTCCTTTCCCCTATATAATCCAGCCTTTCCTTTGTTCTAATCTTCATGCTCCTGATGTCTTGGTCTGGCCCTCCCTTTCCCACTCCCCGTTCCTCACATGGTCTAGCTCAGGGTCAGGTTCACTCTTTTAACCATAATAACCCCTCCACCATGCCTAGGAGCAGCGTGTCCTTCCTTCTCTCTCTCTTTTTGCCATTCAGACAACTATGGGAGGGCTGGCAGTAGCTTCTGAGCCCCCTCCTGGAAGTGGGTCCCACCTCAGTGCAGCTTAAGGTGACCAGCCCCAGCTGATGCCCTGAATTGCTATCTCTGAAACACTAAGCTGCATGTTCAGACACAGAAACTATGACATATGAACCTGTAGTTGCATAGTAAATAACTTACAGTGTAACTTTTACTGCGGTAATTGAAGTGATGTGCTGTTTAAATTCTCTCTTCCCTTCTTCCCCTCTCTTGCTTGAAATGCTAATGACCGACCCTAAGTATAGTTCTGAACAGGGATAGCTAACTATCACTACTATTGATTTTAAAGGGAAAACTTTTAGGATTTGTATATCACTTTTTATCATGGAAAATGAAGGTATTTTCTTTCAATGTTTATCACTTGTGTGTGTATGTAAGTGTACTAGGATATACACATGTGTATCAGTAGGTGCTCATCCTTGTGGAGGCCACGGGAAGCCATGGCTTGCCCTGCTCTGTGGCCCTCCACTTTGCTCCTTTGAGGCAAGGTCTCTTACAGAACCAGTTAGGCTAGTGGCAAGCAAGCCCTAGGAATCCTGTCTCTGCTGTCTGTAGCACTGAAGGCACAAGCATGTGCAGCTTTTTATATGGGTGGGGGGATCTAAACTGAATCCTCAGTCTGCGAAGAAAGAGGTCTCTTAACCCATCTCTCTAGCCCCGCGGATTTACTTTCTATTACACATGGGGTATACCTGTAGTAATTGATTTCTATTATTAGTCCAACATGAATTGGGTGGCAGAAATTCAAGTCACGATGTATTATGCTAGCCTGTCTTACCTTTATGTTACTTTTTGTTATGTAAATATTTTACCTCTTCCATGTTTCATCAGTTACCACTAAGACTCCAAAAGTAGAAGTAACACAATGCTCCCTTATAAACACTGTAGTCCTCTTGTAAACATTCTTTTCTCTCCCTGATCAAGCCTGTTTGCTTTTGTGTTAATATGAAAAGAAAGGGTTTTGCTGTGTGACATCTTCATACATGCACATCATTCTGCTTTGATCTTACTCCCTTTCCTCCCTCCCCTCATAATCTCTTTCCCTCTCTTGATATTCCTAAATTGTCCCTTGCTTTCATGACATATATTTCATTACTTTCTCTTCTCCCTTGATTCCTGTTTGAACTTCTTCCTCTTTCGACTTTAGTATTTTACACACACACACACACACACACACACACACACACACACACACACTCCTATATTCTGTATGGAAGAGAAAACACATTTTTTTTTTAAATTTTTCAGAGTTTGCCCTTTTTCACTTAACGTGATAGTTTCCAGTTTCATCTGTCTTCCTTTGAATACTAAAATTTCATTTTTCTTGATAGTGCAATAAGATTCCATACACACACACACACACACACACACACACACCACATTTTCTTTATGCATTTATATGTTGAAAGACATCTAGGCTGGTTCTGTATCATACCTATTGTGAGTAGAATAGTAGCAAACAGGGGCTAGAGAGATGACTCAGAAGTTAAGAGTTCTGACTGCTCTTCCAGAGGTCCTGAGTTCAATTCCCAGCCACCGCAT